TTTTTGCTTGGCCCCTAAAGATATATAAGGAAGGCACCAGGTGAGCCTCCATGGGGAGAGCATTGCACAGACAGGGAGCCACAGCAGAAAAGGCTTATTGTCATATTGCCGCTCTCCAGACATCTTGTGGAGGGGACACACGAAGAAGGGCCTCCCATGATTATCATAAGTACCAGTGACAGCAGTCGGCTCTTGCTCCTCTTGTCCTGGAGCCTCAAAGCAGTTCTGGGCCAGAAACATAGTAGGTCATGCCATGGATCATGACACAGGGTCTTTTCAGTTGTGCTGCCCCAACTCCAGGGCCAGATTAATACCTTCGAGACCTGAAGCACTTAAAAGATTTTGGTTTGCCCATATATATCTCATTCCAAAGATAACCAATAATAAACCGTAAAATAAAACTTTATTTTTCAAAACGAAAGAGAATCTACAGCAAGATGGAAAACAATGTTTATTTTTCTATACTTGTTTAAATAATGTTGGGGGGGGGGTTGTTCAGCTGCACCATATTGTCCATGGTAAATCTGGCAATGGGAAATTTCTGTGGTGCACCCCTTCCCTTATTCCATAAGCACATGCTTATTTTGCTTATTGGATATTCCAGCCCTCCCCAACTTTCAAACGCTGTCCCCAGGGGGAGTCCCCTAATGCTGAGAGTGATGTATCTCCAGGCCTCCCTATTCACCATCCCATGGGCTCAGAGAAGGATTTCTGCAAATGCTGGAACACTTTTGTTAAATACTGGTTTTCTGTTTTTATATTACTACTACTACTACTACTACTATTACTACTACATACATACATACATACATACATACATATCCTGCCCATCTGGCTGAGTTTCCCCTGCCAATCTGGGCAGCTCCCAAAAGAATATTAGAACAGAATAAAATATCAAACTTCCCTAAACAGGGCTGCCTTCAGATGTCTTCTAAAAGTCAGGTAGTTGTTTATTTCCTTGACATCTGATGGGATTCCACAGGGCGGGCGCCACCACTGAGAATGCTTTCCGCCTGGTTCCCTGTAACCTCACATTTCATAGTGAGGGAACCGCCAGAAGGCACTGGACCTCAGTGTCCAGGCTAAACCATGGGGGTGGAGACGCTCCTTCAGTTATACTGGGCCCAGGCCATTTAGGACTTTAAAGAGCAGCACCAGCCCTTTGAATTGCGCTCAGAAGCATGCTGGGAGCCAATGTAGGTCTTTCAGGACCGGTGTTATATGGTCTTGGCTGAAGTATTCTTCTTCCTGTGTTCTTTGCTCTCCTCATGGAATCCTCCAACTTCTTACACTTTCCTCCTCATATTTCTGTGCTACACTCTTAGATCACTAGTCAATTTAAACTGGGGAATACCAAGTATGGTTTCTCTCCCTTTCTACCTGTTTAGCTTATTGCATTGAAATGACCGTACAGGGAGCTAGTTCTGGAATTATAGAATCATAGAGTTGGAAGGGACCCTGAGGTTCATCTAGTCCAATCCCCGGCAATGCAGGAATCCATTACAGATGGCCATTCAATCTCTGCTTAAAAACCTCCAAGGAAGGAGAGTTCACAATCTTCCAAGAAGTCTACTTCACTGTCAACAACTCTTACCATCAGAAAGTTATTCCAGATGTTTAGTTGGAATCTCCTTTCTTGCAACTTGGATCCATTGGTTCGGTTTCTACCCTCTGGAACAGGAGAAACAAACTTGCTCCATCTTCCATGTGACAGCCCTTGAGATATTTGAAGATGGCTATCATATCTCCTGGGATCCTGCAAGTTTAAGCCTTTTTAACCTGTGTGTGAATATGTGTAGCTCCTGAAATATAGAAACATATCCATGTGCTGGAACATGCTGTGCTGGAACATGCTGTGGAATATGTTCCCTGTGGAATAATATGTGAACCACTCGCCAAGAGCTATGCATTCTGCCAGCATCTGGCCCGCTGTTCTCTCTTTCTGGCCCACTGAAATCTCCACTGTGCAGAACCATCTACCGTAGATGGGATCATATTGAGGAAGGACCTCACAGTTAAGCCAGATGGGTCTATCAGTTCTCTTACACTGCAATATGCAAGCTGAAAAACAACAGTCCTTTGGAATTCACACTTCCCTGAATTTTGCAGTGCAGTTCTTCAGATAAGTAATGCATACAAAAGTACATATACTAGTGTATAGTGTACATAATAAAGAGTGCTTATATTGATGAAAATAATATTTAAAATGTATTTCATTGGGTGAAATGGTCTTGCCAAAATGTGTACATCAGGCAAAATTACATTAAAATGTGTATATTGGCAGCACTAATCAGTCACACTAAAATGCTGATTCAAAAGGACTTTTCAAAATAAATGCACAGTGATGTGGAACGATAATCTGAACTTGAGAGATTTGGTCATCCCTAGCAATCTGCCATCTTGGTGAGGATGTGTGTGGAAGTGACTCTTCTGCACTGCATCCTGAAGGATTTCTCTTTCTAAGGCACTAGGACATAAGCAGGACTTGAATTACCAGTGGAGGAGTAACATTTGCCCCATTTGTAATGCCTGCCTAAGGAGGTACTTAAAAGATTCAAGCACAGGCCCATTACACACATTTGCGTAAAATATGCATATCCTAATTTATATGTATAGATGCAAATTTAGGTCTATGGGAAAACAAAGGTGGTAGCTAATTCTCACTATGCTTTTCCTGAATTTCCTGCAGTCCTTATCCAGGGACAAGAATGAGAAAATGCATCTCGAAAAGGGAAACAAAGTGCATAACATTTGCACGTTTATAAATAACCACTTGAATGTAAATAGGAATACACTGCATGTCACCATATTAGGGAGGACTATGACCTGCTCAGGCTGCTGTCCTGGTGGCAACAGTTGATGGGCATCTACAAGGCCCCAGGCTGCTCTTCCTTCTTGTCGTTTTTCATCTTTAAGCTGTACTGCGACAAGGCCAGTTCTTCAGATATAGGACTGTTCTCCAACAACCCATCAATTAGAGTGCTGCCTGCTGTAAAAAAAAGGAGCTATGCCCATTCTAAGAAAAGGGCTTTTGGAGGAAGAAGCATTTTGTTCTGTGTTGACATTCAGAAAAGCATATTGAAGCCACTGAAGACAATACTTTGTTGGATATCACAATTCATTATAAACTGCTGGACAACTGGCCACCTATGTTGTCCACAGGGGCACTGAACCAAGGGGGTGCAAAATAATTATAATACTTAGATCTATACAGATACCTAATCAAAGTTAGAAATATGAAGTTGGGGGAGTGGCATGCTCAGGGTGTATTACCAAAGAGAGTGCAGGCCAGGAGATGAGATGTACAGGTTCCCAAGATGCCCATGCAGTAGAAGCAAAGAAAGTAAAAATATACTAATATGCATTTCTGGTTTCCCTCCTTCTGCTGTAATATAGATATCAGTTGTCTGTGAATTAGTTTAGGGTGTTGTGGGGAGGGATTAATGGTGTGATCACTTAAAGTATATTTTTCCCCCACTAGGGAGTGCTCACTGTATATTTGTGAGTGATCCTTTGCTAAACTCTAATAGCAAATGCAAGTTGAGAATACCAGCAAATGGTTACGAAAACAGGGTAATAGGGAAATGTGAAGGAGTCATTAGCATGTTCAGAGATCACTAGAATTACAGATTGTTTTCTAAAAACCTGTTGGGGATTATTCATAACAGTAGGAGAATGTGCAAAATTTAGTTGATATATACACATTACCCAAGTCTTGTGGGAGATTAGGTATATTGACCTCTTCCTGAAAGGATTATGTGCATGTTTTCCACGAGGCCTGCTTAATGTGCACAGCTGTGAGTCGTGATGCACAGTAACCTCTCAACGTCCATTTTTCATATGATAGATAGCCCAAACAGCCCCAGAATGTTCCCTATAGCCATGGTACATACAGTTCGGTTTCAGTTGGGAAATAAAAACAGAAAACTGAAGGGGGTGGGGGGTGGCAGTGGTATGTTCTGGTTGGAGAGGATAGCTGGCTGGAACCCTGAACAACAGTGCTTCTGTTAGAAGGTGAGGATATGCTGTAGCATCTTGTTGTAGGTCCTATTGTCCTATCTTGGGGAGTGGGCTCTTAAGTTAAAATATTTCTGAAATTGTTTGACAGCCCTGCCCAATGGTATGAGAAGTCCATTCAAACGTTTGCATGTGGCGGCATTGCGGGATGCTTCAGTGGGGCCCCAATGGGGGAATTCAAACTGTCTGGGCCCTTCCTGGTGGGCAGAGAGGGCATACGCCTGCTCCCTGCTCCAGCAATTGGGGATGCAAACTGGGACTTGGGCTGTGTGGAGGGCAAAGCCAATGGAGCCGATGGTGGGTTTTCCTCAGATTGCCCATTTAAGCAGCCAGCCCCCTGCCCCCTGGTATGAGAACAGGGTAGTGAATGGATGATGCTTTGTGTCTGAAATCATCCCTGCAAAGCTGCATTAGCCACAGGGAGAGATGAGCAGGTACCATACTGGATAAAGGACTGGTTCTGTAGCTGATGCAAACCATTTCAATCTCACACTGACACGTCTTGATGGACACTCTCACACTCGAGAAAGAATGGTGGAATTGTGTCTCTTTGGATTTCACAGTGAATGGATTAGATGATGCTCTGAGTCTGAATGATGGTCATAACTTGGAATGGACTGATTTCCCATAGTTCCACCACAGCTCCCCCTGCCTCCTTTGCCTCTCCACATCATGTGGTGTGGCCCAACAGCTTTAAGTCACCTGAAGCCATTTGTCCCACAGGCACCTTTCTGCAGTGCACCTCTCCTTTGAGTTAAAGGTTGATGGATGCATTTCCACTGTTGGATAGAGAGCTATTAAACACCAGCTGATTCTATGAGTGTGGCCATAAATAATCTCAAGCTCTAGACTGTATTCTTGTAAAATATAGCGCTAGATAACTAGCCTGCTTGGAAAATAGACTTGTGCCACTTTGCACGGCTGTGAGATAAGAGCTTAAAGGTGAAAAAAAGAGAAACACATCATTTTTTTTGCAATGCTTTAATATGCTGAATGCGCAAGAATTTTTCATAAAGATAATGCAAATGGGGAAATAAAATGCATTTCAACATTCTCAAGAGTAATAGCCAAGGTTGGCAAAAAAATACTATGGATCCGAGACTAATTAGCTACATTTATAGCTTTGGGAGGAGATGATTTGCAGTTGTTGTTTGCAGACTGACCTCCCTGGCAAGGAAAGAAGCAGGAAATCGGGGTAGAGAGCAGGAAATGTGGAAAGCTACAGGTAAGCTAGCATTTTTCTTCTTCTGTGTTTGTCTTGGAGGGATGCCGTTGTTGGATGTTCCTGGTCTGTGCCTTCATTTCGTTCTAATTTGCTGAAATGAAAAGAAGAGAAATCTGCTTTATAGGGTGAACATTCCTGTTTCAACTGTCTGGAAGCTGAATAGGGCTTGGGAGGAATTTCATTGGTTATGGACAAGTTGGGGGTTATCCTTGGTCTTGTCTGGATGGCTTCCTACTTGGGTTGTCAACTAAGGGATGTAGACACAAACAATGACATTGCATCCTTTTTTGTCACCTGGGGCGCATCTGCGTGTGCACCAGGGAGGACCAGGGGTTGGGCATGGAGGGTGAACATCATCATTCCACAGCATTGAGGGGAGGAGTGAGAAAGATACTGGTGTGTTTACATAGTAGTGGTTTCCACAAAGAATGGTTAAGAATATTCTAAGAAAATTATGCAAGACTGACTTTTTATAGTGGAGGGGATGAAAAAGGAAGAACCTCAGAAAAATATTTACTGTGAAATTTCTGCTTAGCTTTACATTATTCACACACACTGGTACCTCCTGGCATTTTCTTTTTCTACTGCAACATCACTGAATGGAAGGGAGTAAAAAAATTATGTTTCATAGTGGGGGAGGGGCCACACATGAGAATATTTTACTCAAATGTGCTACTCACCGTGGAAACACCATATCGTGTTCCTGATAGAATTGTTGAAACAGCACCCTCTTCTTAAACATGTAAATCTAGGTATTCCAGAGTATCCACATTCTCTTCTCCGGTTAGGAGGTACATTGCAGTTGCCTATTCAATAAGTAAAGTTGAGAGTTCTTTATTCATTGAAGAATAGTTTAATTTAGCTTCAAGTCAACATTAGCCATGAAGATTTCCAAGCAAAAGAGAAATAGGATGCAGCCTGATCACCAAAGTCCTTCAAAATTCCAAATGTAAAACAATGTTCTGTTTGTAGGTACACATGGAAAATAAGTATGCTCAGTGGTAACCTTTAGATTCAAAGAGTGAAGTCAATGACACACAGAGAGAAACCTCAGCTCTGCCATTAGCTTTAGTCTATTGGTTGCCCAAGAGCCATAGGGGAGATACTCCCAAGGGTGATTTTTCAAGACAGCAGGAAGCTGGAGGTCCTCAGATCTTAAGAACTTGGAGCTGTGTGATGAGCAGAGACAGAGAACCTCTCATATTCTTTCAGGCCTTCCTATTCACCTGAGACTTTCAATTTCTGAGGTCTTATGCATTGTTTCTGGCACAACGAAATCTCCAGAATGCAGAACAATCTACATGGGGTCATATAGGGAAAGAAGAGCCCACTTATAGGGATGTGATTGTATTCTATGACTGACAACTTCCAAAAGAGGAGCCAATGCTTAGTTTGTCACCAGAAAAGCAACAAATAGATCTGTGACATGTAAAGACTAATACATTTACTGCAGCATCAGCTTTTCTGAATTACAAAAGCTGATGTTACAATAAATACCTTCAGGGGCAAAGTTCTCTTCTGATCACTTGGCTTATCAGCCATGACTCTTATAACCTTTTGTACGGGGGCAAATGAGTAGCCATACAGAGGTGGGGAACCCCCGGTCCATGGGCCAATGAGTCCCACCAGGTGTTCCCATTTGACCCATGAGCCTATGTGGGTGAAGCTACACCCACCTGCACTTTTCCTTATCATTATCACATCATCTGATGAGGAGGGGGGAGATAACAATCTGACTTGCTGATCTAGAAGGCTCTGTAGCCCAAAGGAACTTGCAGAGTATGACCCATTGACATCAGCTAATTGTACTTTTAAGTAGACATGCATTGGATTGTGCTGAAAGACGGTAATGGAATGGATCCCCTAGGAATCATCCACCAACACAATTCAGGCCACCTCCTTTTTGGCCACCTGCCTTTGGAGGCTGTTGAAATCAGTGGTCAGTAACTAGGTTGTCCAGGGAGCCAAACACTGGTCCCTTCCCTCTGCTGCTACCCTGCTTTTTATGCACTGTAAAAAAAAATGCCATCCAATCATGTTTTTCCAAATTTATGGCATTGTTCTCCCTCCCCCACTTCTAGGAACAGGGTCACAGCTGTAGAATAGACTAGTATTAGCTATTAAATAGTTTTCAAAAAAAGTGAAAGTAATTTAAATTGCTGGCTTACGTCTTTGTCCTTTGCCACCTTCGTCACCTCCCTGGCCATTTGCAAAACTGGCGAATCCTAAAACCAGGACAATGGCCAGGAGCCAGAGCAACTTGAAGTTCATTTTTTTCTGAAATGTTCTCCAAATCTTCAAACCTGTTGAAAGATTCCAGATCAAAATTGTGACCTAGTAGAGGTTTAATCTACTTCCTTTTCAATGAAAAAATACATAACAAATGGAGGCTTTCAGACTGGGTTGGCAAATCATGAGTTCAGAATAGGTGACACTTAACATCTGTATAACACTTTTTAGTGTCCAAGGTGCTTTGCATGCATTCTGTAGCTGTTATCATGGCATCAATCCTCTAAAGCAAACTATTATCTCTGACATTGCAGGGGAAACAGGTAGAAGGAGAAGGAAACAGGTAGAAATCCAAGATAAATGTTTCTGAAAGGGAAAATCAACCGCACTATTAAAATTTATCAATAGGCACAAAAATTAAGTGGTTGTATCTTATCTGCACAGATAAGTGTGACATATTTAGGAAGCTCCTTGCTTGATTCAAGACAGTTGAGATCTGAGGAAACCTGGTTGTACCAGGCTCTTTCTGCAGACCAAAGTTCAACTTAAAACTGGCTCATGGAAATCAAAATATTTCAACAACATTCATGTGCATATGTGTACACACATACACCACTTAGAGATGGATGAATGTGTCAATTTCAGTGTCTCTCAATTTCTCATGTTTACAATCTCAGATTCAGTTTCATGTATTTTGGCATCAGCTTTGAATTTTCTTATAAGTTTGCATGAAGATTCATCAGAATTTTTCCTAACATCTCCCCTTTTTGTATGCAACTTTGCCTCACATACACATTTTTGCAGGCAATATTCCCTAAGAATGCATTTTGGTCTGCTATTTTCACCTTTATCTGCCTTTCTAAGCCCCTTATGTGCACTTTCCGTAAATCTTCTTTTGGTTGGAGAGGGTAGCACAAAATTCGCAGAAGTCTGAATTTAGAACAAAAGCCTCATTTCAGTTTGTGTATTGCGAAGTGGGTAGAGTTGCATTAAAATGAAAATCAAACCAAATCCCTTGCCTCCCAGTCGCTAGAACCACTTGACTTACCCCACCTGAATGAGTTGCTGAACAGCTCAATGAGAAACAGCAGGATATCAAAACTCAGAAGGGCAGGGCTAATTTATATGGTTCAAGAAGACCTCCTCCTTCCTGTTGCAGCCCCTTGAGGTGAAAATGCTATCAATAATTGGGCTAATGAAATAACCGTTAGTAAACCCAAAAGCCAAGAACTGGACGTCGGGTTCAGGAAACAATGCAAGTCAACAGACTTTTGTAGCAACATTTCAGTTGATTTCTTATATCTTTTATGTCAAAAAATCCAACTGTTTTGTGGTCACAAGAAGCTGCTGTTTCCATGTGTTGCATTTTCCTATCTTGAGCAACAGGTAAATGAGACTTAGGACATTTTAATTGGCAACCTCTTTTATCTGGCAATCTTGCTTTTTTTTTTTAGCCTGCAACTTTCTCTTGCAAGGAGGAACACAACTTTAGCAGATTTACTGGTCTCATATATGCTAATTTTTGAAGGCAATAATTTCACAAATTCAATATTTTATATTTTATATTTTGCTTTTAAATTACTTTATTGAACTTAAAACAAATAACACAAAATCAAAATTATCCATAACAAATAAACATCAAAGAGTTGTCGATATTATTACAGTTCATCACAGTCTTCTTCCAGTTTCATTGACTTCCCGCCAACTCCATCCTGCTTTAAATGTATATTTATCTAGTGCTCTGTGTCTATTTTAGATAATTGCTTAGCCAAAATATTGTACTTTCTTAAACCTGTTCGGTGTATAACAGAAGCTATTCAAAGGCTGCCACAGATTTTATATTGTTCCAATCTTTTATGTAACTTTTAAATAAACCCCATTTATTGAAAAATGCTTAATCTGCATGGTCTCTTATTCTTCCTGTTAGCTTAGCTAGTTCTGTGTACTCCATTAATTTTTGTTGCCACTCCAATTTTGATGGTACTTTTTCTCTTTTCCAATTTGATGCTATTAAAATTCTCACGGCCAGTGTCGCATATAAGAATAATTCCCTTACACTTTTTGGAATATCGGAACCCAGTATCCCAAGAAGGAAGGCCTCTTGTTTTTTTGTAAACACAATCTTAAGCATTTTTTTAAAGTTCCATATATATTTCATCCCCAAATTCCTTAATTTTTCTGCAACTTCACCACATGTGCAGCATCAATCCCACTGCTTCTTTGCATCTCCAACATTTGTTTGATACATTCTTATACATTTTGAATAGTTTTAAGGGAGTAATGTACCAACGGTACTGCATTTTTCAGAAAGTTTTCTCTCAATGTGTAACAAGCAGTACATTTCATATTTGTCCTCCAGAGGTTTTCCCAATCCTTCATTAAGATATTATAGCCAAAGTCCTGTGCCCATTTTATCATGATGGATTTTACCTCCTTTCCAGGTTTACCTGACTTCCCAGTCAAGGAGGAGTCAGTACATTTTGGAAAGCATTTTAGTTTTTGAATTAATCAGATCATTCTCTAATCTAGATGGTTCTGTTGCAAATCCTTTTCTTATGTCTACTTTAAATGTCTCATTCAACTGATGGTATAGGAGCCAATCTGACAAGTGTTTTCTTATTTCATCGAAATTTTTAAGTTTCAATTGATTATCTTCCTCCTTAACTAATATTTTGTACGCCATCCAGTTTTCTTTCATATTTTTCTTTTTTAAGAAAAGTGCTTCCAGGAGGAAATCCACCACAGTGCTTTGGGTTCCAAGAGCTCTTTATAGTTTGCCCAGACCATGTAAAGGGGCCTTCTTATGATGTGGGTTAGGAAGTTTGTATGGACCTTTACTTTGTCGTACCCTAGGTACACATGCCAACCATACTGGTTGTCATAGCCTTCCAGATCTAGTAGGTTTGAGTCATATAAAGTACACCACTCCTTAATCCAGGTTAGGCAGGCAGCCTCGTAATATAATGTTAGATCCGGCAACGAGAACTTCCCTCTTTATTTTATGTCAATTAAAAACTGGTGTTTGATTCAGGGTCTTTTCCCTTGCCAGATGAACCTGGAAATATCTCTTTATCATTTTTTGAGGCTGTCTTTCTCTCCCATCACAGGTATTGTTTGGAATAAAAAGAGCATTTTCAGTAACACATTCATTTTTATGGTTGAAATCCTTCCCAAAAAAGGTAAGTTTAAACTACTCCATATATCCAAATTCCTCTTAATTTCACTCCAAATTTTGATGTAATTGTCTTGAAAAAGATTAATATTTGGGGGGGGTGATCCTTATACCAAGGTATTTTACTTTTTGGCAGATCTTCAGGTTTGAGGGGGTTTTTCCAGATCTTCTCTGTCTTGTATTGTGAGGTTTTTAACTAGAAGCTTTGTTTTGGAACTGTTAAGTCTAAATTCCACTACTTGTCCGAAGTTATTGATTATTTCTAGTGTCCTTAATTGTCAGGGAACTGCTATCGGCTCAGAGGTGCGAAATAGAAGGGCAGTTGTGTTACGGGGAGCCTCCGAAAATCTTGCGAAGCAGTTCCTCTTCCGGGGAGGAGGAAAGCCCCACCTCCAGTGGGGAAGAGGTGCAAGGACCAGAGGATGCTGGTGGGAGCCTTAACACCGCTCCTGGGCAAGCCGGACAGGAGGCAAACACACCCTTGCCATTGCCCATCCTGCGCAGTAGTCTAAGGCGCAAAGAGGGAAGAAGGTTGGGGGTAATGAAACTCTTATGTTGGGGAAGGTCCAAAGAAAGACCACTCCCGGATCCTGCTAGTGATTGAGCCAGACATGAGCTTTGGGGCTCTTCACTGTAAATAGTTTGCACCAAAATAAAGCCTGTAAAACACAGGTTGGAGTCCTGCCTGGTTACTCTCGAGCAACCGCAACAGCCATCTGACATTAATAGACTTTCTTCAGGGTTTTCAGTCATTATAATAAGGTCATCTGTGAAGGCTTTCAGTTTGTACGCTTTCTCACCTAATGTAATTCCTTTTATCTCTTGGTCTTCTCTTATTTGATTGTTCAGCACTTCCATGACCAAAATGAATATCAATGGGGATAATGGACACCCTTGTCTTAATCCTTTTCTTATTATAAAATCCTCTGTGATGTTACTGTTGATAATTATTCTTGCTTGTTGATCTGAGTAGATCACCTTAGTTTGCCTACCCATGCTCTAGGGCCTGTCAGAGCCATCATGACTCCTTCTCAAAGCCCAGGTCTTACTATGTTTTGGGAAGGAGGCAGGAAGTCTCTCCCTCAGCTAGCCGCCTAGTGCAAGGGAACCAGTTGCACCACTCCAAATCTGCCTTTGATGTAGTATTCTTTAACATGTAACACAACTCTTTTGTTGTATATTTTTGTGATAATATCCAGAGCTACAAATGGCTATTTCCTCATCTTAATTCCCCCCCCCAATGTAATAGGAAATGCAAGGTGAGAATCCCAGCAAATGGTTACTAAAACAGGGTCCACTGGGAAACAATGAAGGAGTCATTAGCATGTTCAGAGATCACTAGAATTACAAAGATTGTTTTTTAAAAGCCTGTTGCGGATTATTCATAACAGTAGGAGAATGGGGAAAATTAAGTTTATATATGCACATTACCTTGTGGGAGATTAGGTATATTGGCCTCTTCCTGAAAGGATTATGTGCATGTTTTCCATGAGGCCTGTTTAATGTGCACAGCAGTCAGTTGTTATGCACAGTAACCACTCAATGTACATTTCTTTTAAGACAGATAGCCCTAACAGCCCCAGAATGTTCTCTATACCCATAGTGCAGACAGTTCAGTGTCAGTCAACAGTTCGGTGTCAGTCAGGAAAGAAAAACAGAAAACTGAGGGGGGTGGGGAGGGTGGCAGTGGTACGTCCTGGTTTGAGAGGATAGCTGGCTAGAACCCTGAACAACAGTGCTTCTGTTAGAAGGTGAGGATATCCTGCAACTTTTTGTTGTAGATCCTATGGTCCTATCTTGGGGAATGGGCTCTTAAGTTAAATCATCCCCACAAAGCTGCATTAGCCACAGGGAGAGATGAGCAGGTACCCTACTGGATAAAGGACTGGATCTGTAGCTGATGCAAACCATTTCAATCTCACACTGACAAAGGGATGACACCCTCACACGCGAGAAAGCACGATGGAATTGTGTCCCATATTATGATCTCTTTGGATTTCACAGTGAATGGATTGGATGATGCTATGAGTCTGAATGATTGTCATAACTTGGAATGGACTGATTTCCCATAGGTCCACCACAGCTCCCCCTGCCCCCTTTACCTCTCCACATCATGTGATGTGGCTCAACAGCTTTAAGTCACCTGAAGCCATTTGTCCCACAGGCACCTTTCTGCAGTGCACCTCTCCTTTGAGTTAAAGGTTGATGGATGGATGTCCACTGTTGGATAGAAAGCTATTAAACACCATGTGTGTGGCCATAAATAATCTCAAGCGCTAGACTGTATTCTTGTTGTAAAAAAATTGCTGGATATCTAGCCTGTTTGGAAAATAGACTTGTATCACTTTGAATGGCTGTGAGATAAGAGCTTAAAGGTGAAAATATGTCAAGAGCATTAAAAAGAGAAACACATCATTTTAACAATGCTTTAATATGCACAAAATGGTTTCATAAAGATAATGCAAACGGGGAAATGCATTTCTACATTCTCAAGAGTAATAACCAAAGTTGGCAAAATGGAGCTGAGACTAATTAACTACGTTTATAGATTTTGGGGGAGAGGATTTGCAGTTGTTGTGCGCAGACAGATATGAACTGACCTCCCTGGCAAGGAAAGAAGCAGGAAATTGGCGTAGAGAGGAGGAAATGTTGAAAGCTACAGCTATGCCAGTACTTTGTTTTCTGTTTTTGTCTTAGAGGGATGCCGTTGTCAGACGTTCCTGGTCTGTGCCTTCATTTCGTTCTAATTTGCTGAAATGAAAAGAAGAGAAATCTGCTTTATAGGTTGAACTTCCCTGTTTCAACTGTCTGGAAGCTGAATAGGGCTTGGGAGGAATTTCATTGGTTATGGATAAGTTGGGAGTTATCCTTGGTCTTGTCTGGATGGCTTCCTGCTTGGGTTGTCAACTAAGGGATGGAGACGCAAACAGTGACATTGCATCCTTTTTTGGCACCTGGGAAAAATCTGCGTGTGCACCAGGCAGGACCAGGGGTTGGGTGTGGAAGGTGAACATCATCATTCTGCAGTATTGATGGGAGGAGTGAGAAGGATACTGGTGTGTTTACATAGTAGTGGTTTCCACAAAAAATGGTGGGGAATATTCTAAGAAAACCATGCAAGATGGCCTTTTTATAGTGGATGGGATGAGAAAGGGAAAACCTCAGAAAAGTATCTACTGTGAAATTATTCACACACCCTGGTCTCCTCCTGGCACCCCCCCCCCCCGTTGCAACTGAATGGGAGGGAGTAAAAGTTTGATGTTTCATAGTGGGGGATGGGCCACACATGAGAATATTTTACTCAAACGTGCTACTCACGGTAGAAACACCATTTTGAATTCTTGATAGCATTGCTGAAACAGCAGTTTCTTTTTAAACATGTACTTCTAGGTATTCCAGGGTATCCACAGTCTCTTCTCCGACTAGGAGGTACGTTACAGTTGCCTATTCAATAAGAAAAGTTGAGAAATCAAAATTCATAGAGGAATAGTTTAATTTATATTCAACTCAACATTAGCCATGAAGATATCCAAGCTAAAGAGAAATAGGATACAGCCTGATCACCAAATTCCTTCAAAATTCCAAATGTAACTCAGTATTCTGTTTTACTGAAAGCTGTTTGTAGGTACACATGGAAAATAAGTATATGCTCAATGGTAACCTTTACCTTCAAAGAGTGAAGTCAATTACACACACAGCGAAACTTCGGCTCTGCCATTAGCTTTAGTCTATTGGTTGCCCAAGAACTATGGGAGAGGAACTCCCAAGGGTGATTTTTTAAGATTGCAGGAAGCTGGATGTCTTCAGATCTTAAGAACTTGGAGCTCTGTAATGCCTCTCAGCAGAGACAGAGAACCTCCCTGAACCAAATGAGCCTCTTTATTATATGTTCTGGAAGCTTTCTCTGGCCTTGTCTCTAGTTTTTTGGTCATTGGTGTTATCTTAGGAAGTTGTCACATATCTAAAAGGTCTCACTGAGCTAAGCAAATAAATGGGCAGAAAATACAAAGACTTATCTCTCTCTCTGAAAGTTGTGACCCATCAAGATGAATGGAGTACACCAGGCATTGTATTGTGGCCTGCTAGGTGCTCAACATCTGCAAGTATATAGCACAAACAGGAGGTTTACCACATCTCTGCTGGATCACCATATGTGGTTGGTATTTGGCTTGGTGACCAACAAGATGCTCAGGCATGGTCTTAACTTTTTCCCACAGCACGCCATTACATTTTGCCTCCTGAAGCAGAGCTCAAGTGCTCCACCATGAACCTGGCTAGGGTCAGCAAATTGTTTTTATTTTTATTTTTATTTTTATTATTATTATTATTATTATTATTATTATTATTATTATTATTAGTCTTGTTGAACATTCATATATCAATTCATGCCTTCATCTATTTCCTACATGAAAGTCCTTCTCTGGTCATTTGGCTTATCAGCCATGCCTTGTAACCTTTTGTACAGGGGCAAATGAGTAACCATACAGATGTGGGGAACCCCTGGTCCATGGGCCAATGAGCCCCACCAGGTGTTCTCATTTGAGCCTTGAGCCTGTGTGGGTGAAGCTACACCCACCTGCACTTCTCCTGATGACATCAGCTGATTGGGCTCAATGGGTTGAGAAAAATTGGGCAAAAAAAGGTCATCTGGATTCTTAATGGTGTCAGATGATATCATTATCACATCACCTGATGAGGAGGGGGGAGATAACAATCTGACTTGCTGATCTAGAAGGCTCTGTATCCCAAAGGAACTTGCAGAGTATGACCCATTAATATCAACAGATTGTACTTTTAAGTAGACATGCATTGGATTGTGCTGAAAGACGATAATAGAATGGATCCACTCGGAATCAACCACCAACACAATTCAGGCCACCTGCCTTTTGGCTACCTGCCTTTGGAAGCAGTTGAAATCAGTGGTCAGTAACTAGGTTGTCCAGGGAGCCAAACACTGGTCCCTTCCCACTGCTACCCTGCTTTTTATGTACTGTAAAAAAAGATGCCATCCAATCATGTTTTTCCAAATTTATGGCATGGTTCCCCCTCCACCCCTTCTAGGAACAGGGTCACAGCTGTAGAATAAACTAGTATCAGCTATTAAATAGTTTTATAAAAAGTGAAAGTAATTTAAATTGGTGACTTACGTTTTTGTCCTTTGCCCCCACGGCCTCCTCGGCCACCTCTACCACCCCGGCCACCTCCACCACCTCGGCCACCCCTGGCATCTGCGAAACTGGCGAATCCTAAGACCAGGACAATGGCCAGGAGCCAGAACCACTTGAAGTTCATTTTTATCTGAAATGTTCACCAAATCTTCAAACCTGTTGAAAGATTCCAGATGAAAGTTGTGACCCAGTAGAGTTTTAATATACTTCCTTTTCAATGGAGAAAGACATAACAAATGGAGGCTTTCAGGCTGGGATGGTAAATCGTGAGTTCAGAACAGGTGACACTTAACATTTATATTATAACACTTTCTAGCGTCCAAAGCGCTTCACATGCATTCTGTAGCTGTTATCATGGCATCAATCCTCTAAAACAAACTATTATCTCTGACATTGCAGGGAAAACAGGTAGAAGGAGAAGGAAACAGGTAGAAATCCAAGATAAATGTTTCTGAAAGGGAAGATCAACTGTGATAGTAAAATTTATCAACAGGCACAAAAATGTAAGCAGCTGAATCTTATCTGCACAGATATCAAAGCAAGTGTGACATATTTAGAAAGCTCCCTGCTTGATTCAAGACAGTTGAGATCTGAATAAGCTGGCTCTAGGAGGCTCTTTCTGCAGACCAAAGTTCACTGCAAAACTGGCTCATGGAAATCAAAATATTGCAACAACATTCATGTGCATATGTATACACACACACACACACACACACACACACCAGTTAAAGATGGATGAATGTGTCAATTTCAGTGTCTCTCAATTTCTCATGTTTACAATCTCAGATTCAGTTTGCTGTACTGCAGTATCAGCTTTGAATATTTTAAGTTTGTGTGAAAATTCATTAGCATTTCTCCTAACAGACTTTTTTTTTGGTATGCCTCGCATACACATTTTTGCAGACAATATTCCCTAACACTGCATTTTAGTTTGCTATTTTTACCAATATTTGCATCTTTATGCCCCTTTTGTGTATATTCTGTACACCTTTTTTTGGTAGAGGAACCATTCCACAATATTCATAGGAATTTAAAAGGAAAGGCACATTTCAGTTTCTGTATTGTTTTGAGGGGTGGTAAATTGGTAAAACTTGCATTAAAATGAAAATCAAACCAAATCCCTTGCCCCCGCAATCCCTAGATCCACTTGACTTACCCTATCTGAATGAGTTGTTGAACAGCTCAATGACAAACAGCAGTTGAACCAGCTATAAATAGTTGGACCAATCCCAGCTGCTTCCAGTCCCAAAAGGCAAGAACCGGATGTTGAACTGGGGAAGCAATGCAAGTAAAGAGACTTCTGTGGCAACCTTTCCATTGTGTCAAAAATCCACCTGTTCTGTGGTTACAAGGACATTTCTTACCTAAATGAGACTTAGGACATTTTAACTGACCACTGCTTTCTTTACCTGCAACTTCCTCATGCAAGGAAGAACACGACTTTAGCAGATGCATTGACCTAGCTATTCTCCACATTTGAGCTAGTTTTAAAAGGAAGTAGCTCTACAACATCAGTGTTTTAATACCTACTTGAGAAGGCTTTTGATGCTGTTGGGCCAAGGTTTATATTTTAGACTGGGCATTTTTTTAAAGTCTAGAATATTTTCTCTAGTTACTACAAGTAACAGAATGCATGTATGTATTTATTATATTTATTAGTTGCTTTGCATGTCAAAGTGCCTCAGGGTGATCTACATAACATAAATAAGAAATAACAGTGAACATTAAACCCAAATATAGACAGCCATAATACAAACCTCAAGACCTCATCCATATGGAACAAATCCTACCCACCTCACTTAGAAAAAGGGCCACAGACATAATTAATTACCCTCCCAATATGGTACTTGACAGTCTATAATTCATCCATCTACTTTGATATGTCACTGAATTTTTTTCCCCCTGTTACTGTTTCGTGGTTCACTCTGTTTTTGTGGTAATGGTTTGGTTTCATAGAAGGGATGGTTCATGTAAAGTAAGGAGGGGGTTGGGGAAGCAATATCAGTGGATTCTATTTCAGACAAGTTTGAAACTCTGTAATGGAGATGTGCTCCTTCTGGGCCTCAGGACAATGGGAATATGAACATGTCCTCTTGTCTGATTATAACTAAGTGTTTCTTATTTAATTTTTTCCCTCCCAAATGAGAAAAAGCAGCTTCTATCGCAAGGGGAGTACTTAACCAATTAATACCCAACATGGAGCAACTGACTCACACATATGCCGAGTGCATTGAAAATGATAAAGACCAGTAAGTAGCAAACTTCCCTGTTGTATGCAGAACCTTTGTATTCCAGCTACCGAGGGGGATGGGCTAGATGACTGTCAGAGTCCCCTTCAACTCTGCAATGCTATGATTCCAGAAATAAAGTGATGCTTCAAGCAGCCTAATGCTTTAAAAAGAGGCAGATGTTGGCTGCATTAATATATACAGAAAAAAGTCCCACAAAATCAATAATTAAAGTTTATTATAACCTTTTATTGCTTTGAAAAGATGCCAAGCACTAATATTGTGAGCAGTGGGAGACAAAATATGTGATTAATTGTGTTATTGTGGGAATGCAAAGGCAAAGCGAAGTGTCGTGGAAGTCAGAATTACAAGAGCACAATGTGGATGATGACATGTTTTCCTTTTTGAATTGTTCCATTGGCAGAGATGCTCCTTGTGCAAATGTCCATTTCTGAAGCTTTGTTTTAACATTCTGAAAAGGCAATAAAAACAAAAAGTATAAGAACTGGGGTAGTTTAGCTCTCCCTTGTCCACCTCCATCAAATCAAGTGACAGCAGGAGTAATGTCCCTAGTAGCTGTCTTTAATATTCTGCCCTGCCAAAAAATATGTTGTACTCAGTTACGCATGCTTATACGGACCATGGGCCTAATCATTTGCTCCCCTCATGCAAGAGAGGAAGCAGGGGCACTCTGCCTGACCACACCCGTCACATTCCTGCTGGTCTATTGCTGCACCCCTCCATGTGTTTGGGCTGACCCTTTGCAGCAGACAGCCTGCTTGACTTGTGTGGGCTTCCTGTGTGGTGTAGAATCTTAGAGGATCAGGGTTCTAGATCATTTAAAATTACTGTACAAGTACAAAGCCTCCCTGCTGAAGACGTCCAGCTCAAATGCATGGAAGGCTGCAGGGATAAGCCATCCGTAAGCAACAATGGGTGGGACCAACAAGACTGTCCCTCTTCTCACCCCAGGATTAGAATTACTGCCCTCCCTGCTCATACTAATGGACTTGCATGAGGGATAGTTACCAAATTTGGGGAAGGGTGTATGCAGTTATTCTAAAGCTTTTCGCATCAGATTTCTTTCCATTTGCACTTGATCTGTGCTACAGATTGCTTGCATGCTCACGCTGAAAGGCATTTACTATTGACTGGTAGTATAGTCGCTTGAAGATATAATGTGCAACAAAATACAAGGAGTAGCATGTGCCTCAGTACAAAATTTTGTTCCATTTGTGCAAAGGGGGAAAATATGTTTGTTACTTTACCTTCTGCTACCTCAACATGGAAGAAACACCATGGAACTGCGGGAGGACGGGACTCAAAACAGCATCCTCTCTCTTCACATGCAGCAGCAGAGATTCCTGGGTATCCACAATTCTTCCTGACTTTCACCTCTGAAGGACATACCTTTTTATCTGTTTTGAATAGTTACCTGAAGATTAGCGGATCAAAGTCACAGTGTTGCTCGTAGTCTTTGTCTAGCTGGTGCTGCTTTTGCCCTTGCTTTTCTGTTTTATTTGAGCTCAAGATACATGAACTATTTTGTGATTATATATATATATATATATATATATATATATATATATATATATATATATAATGTCCAGTAGCACCTTAGAGACCAACTAAGTTTGTTCTTGGTATAAGCTTTCGTGTACATGCACATGAAAGCTTATACCAAGAACAAACTTAGTTGGTATCTAAGGTGCTACTAGACAATTTATTTTATTTTTATATATATTTCTACTGTGTCAGACCAACATGGCTACCTACCTGTATTTTGTGATTATTTCCTCTATCTGGGCTGTCTATCTATCTACTTTCTCTCAGGTTCTGGCACGAAGTCTAACATCAGGCAGGGTTCCAGTGACTGAGAAACAGTGGTTTTTCATATTTCCTTGGACAGTTTCTATGTTTGCCTATAAGACAAGACTAACTGAATGCCTGATAGCAGAATTCCATCCCTCTGACCTGTGTATCATTTTTAGTATCTCAGAAAAGCCAGATATGCTTCAGAAAAATACATTACATTTTGGGGGGCTTGGAGCAAAGCACCAGGGCACTCCTGCAACTTCAGAACTGAAGCAGCACCCGGCATCCCGGCATTGCTGGGGAGTGATTCCAGGAGGTCCACAGTTAACTCTTGCTTTGGGATCAACGTGACATCGGCATTCCGCTGTTGAGAACAGAAATCATGGTTAGCTCTTTTCTTGTGAGAACATGGTAGCCTCTGGCAGGTCTCATTGACCTTTCAATGGGAACTTCCTTCTGTTCAGATATTTGCCTAAATGTAGCCCTCAGTTGAACACCCAATGGCTAAAAGAAGGGAGGGGCACAGGTATGCATGCAAACCCCAGCCCTCTGAGCGCTGGATTGAGCAGGGAAGTCTCTGGAGCTGAGCTGGCCTTTGTGAGGACAAGACTCCCCCCCCCCCGCCCCAATTTTCAGTCCATGCAGGTTCAGGCTCAGTGGCTAAGAGGGCTCATGAATTTCCTATCTAATAAAAATGCAAATCCTTTGTTTAGATCCCTCTGATAGTAGAGATGCCAGGGGTTAAGCCTGTTGAAATCATACAACATGTTTCCAGTAATATTAGAACACATTATTATTATTTTTATTATTTATTATATTTCAATATTGCCATATACACACAGGTCTCAGGGTGGTTCACAACATAAAATCACAATCTGAAACAGCAAAATACATAATAAAAACAAAAACAACCCAATAATCACCCCCTCCCCAACACATTTTAAAAGGGCACCTTTGTGAACTTGTGTGTGATAGGTAATTTCCCTGCAGGTAATTCCTGTGGGATTTGGGGTTATATTTTATCCCTCTCCCTTAGGTACCAAATCATAAGCAGCACCTGTACGGGACAGCTCTTGTACCTTTGGCAATACCCCTCTAAGGAGGCAAATTGCTAGGTATTTAAAAGATTCTGAATGCAGGTTCATGATGCACATTTGCATTATGTACATATCCTAATGTATATGTAGAGATGCAATTTTAGATCTATGAGAAAATGAAGGTGCTAGATGACTTAGGTCTCACTGGCAATATGCTTTTGCTGCATTTCCAGCAGCCCTGTAAATAAAGTTTTTTAAAAGTTGTTTTTTTTTTTTTTAGAAAAGAAAAGGCGCAGGAGATCTAAGACAGTGAAAACAGCTCAGGGCCTAGTTCCCCCTGGGCCACCCCTAAGAACACCACTGCCCTTAACCCCTGTTTTTGGAACACTGTTGTAAGTGGGCATTATTTTGTTACCCTTAGGGGAGCTAAGGCTTGTGGATTTCACTAATGGTCTGCAACCTTTCCCTCCTGCAATTTGAGCTCTCGGATGTGGCTGGTTCGACTTTCCAAGTGACTTGGCTTAGCTTCAATTGTAAAGGTCATCGCTGATATCACTGAAATGAATTGAATTTTTTCTATTGCCCACGCAGCGGAATGTAACCCTTTACTTCCTTATGGGACAGGGGGAGAAACCTTCCATATTTTATAGCTGTTACCCAGGTTGATGTGCACTCTTACAAAATATATCTAATTGATTAAGGGACTTTGTTGTGCTTCTCTTAATGTTGGTAAGAAGTTGGCCTTAAAGTTTCTCAACAGCAGGGGCAAGTTCATCCAATTCCGAATATTGGCAACATATGCCTTTATTCCATTAATGCACTATAAGGAAGGATAATCTAAACAGCTCTTAAGGTACTTACGTGGAGCTTTCTTATCATCGGCCAATGCACCAAGTCCTAAAATTAAAATGAGTGAAAGTATCCAGACCCCCTTCTGCTCCATCGTAGCTTCCAGCTCTTGGTAAGCAAGCTTTAAAATCAAGGAAAGTACCTCACAGTCCCTATGGGCCTTATTTTATACCGCAATTAATGTTTGTGTTCAACAGTCAGATAACAAGTTTCTAGCCATGCTCCACCTCAAGTATCTCTCTTCATTTGATTAGAAAATGTATCTAAGGGGTTTTGCATACGTGTGTGTGTGTGTGTGTGTGTGTGTGTGTGTGTGTGCATGTGAGTGTGCGTTTGGCAACATATGAGGTGGTGCTACCTGGGTGGTAAGAATCAAATGAAAGTAGATAAACGATATTGGTCAGGCACTGTTGATTACCTCAGAGGAGACATTAGTCAGCATTCCAAACATCTGAGCAGCTTCACATGGCAACCATTTTAGAAAGCTAAATAGACATGCATAAAAGGAAGTGTTGCTTTTTAGCCATACCTGTAGTTTGTATTTCTGCATCAGATTTAGACCAGTACAAATAGCAATATTCAGCCCTAAATCAAAATTCATATGAAATTTTTGTGATCAAGGCAATTCTTTGGGACTTGCCCATGAAATTATCCAGGTTTTCATATTATTATTTTTAAAAAAAATAAAGATGCTAGAATAATGTTTAACATTATGAAAAAATCAGAATATGATTTTAAGTTTCAGAATTTTGACCCTCGTCAAACTTTTTTCTTTCTTTACTCAAGTTCTATCTTTTGTTGATTCGTTTTAAGGCAATAGGGTAAAGTGCCAACTTGCTAAACATTTCTCTTCATTCGCTTCTTTGTTTGCTCCTGAATGTTCACTCTGCTGTGTAGTTCCATTGCTCCTGAATTCCAGTTTAATTAGAGAATTTCTGAAATTGGTTCTAGAACTGGAACACAAACAGTTTGCTGCAGCTATCTATTCCTTCAATTTGTTTACATTCTTACTGATGCACATGTATGCTTTGGTTATGTGCTGCAAAAAAACGGCAGTCTGGATGTGATCATGCGCAGAACTGCACAAGAATTCTTTTTATACCAATTGTGGGGGTTTTTTTTGCAGATGCCCAAATGCACTCTGTCTCCTACACATTAAAGGTAGAAACAGAAAGAAGGAAGGAAGGTTGTGGTTGTGGGGGATGAATCAAAGGGACTAAAGGGCACAGCAGAAGCCCCAGGCACTTCCCTTGTCCCTTCTCCCAGTCTGTCTGTCCTTTCTCCTTCCCATTCTTTCTCTTCCTTCTCTCATACTGGCACAACCACTCTGTCTGTCTGTCTGTCTGTCTGTCTGCCATCTACAGTCATACCTCGGGAGTCAAACAGAATCCGTTCCAGAAATCCGTTCAACTTCCAAAACGTTTGGAACCCAAGGCACGGCTTCCGATTGGCTGCAGGAAGCTCCTGCAGCCAATCGGAAGCTATGGAACCCGCGTCGGACATTCAGGTTCCAAAAGAACATTCACAAACCGGAACACTCACTTCCGGGTTTGCAGTGTTTGGGAGCCAAATGTTTGAGAACTAAGCTGTTCGAAAACCAAGGTACGACTGTATTTCATCTCTTTCCATTTCCTTTCTCCCCCTCTGACCCTGGCTATTGCCTCACTCTCTAACCAACCTCTGCTCCCATGTTCTGCATACGTTGGGATTTTCCAGGCTCAGTCCATCCAAAAAGCTATATGACTGCAGCTGGGGATAGGCTGTACCACCAATGCCCCCCCAGTCAGACTGAAACCTCCATGTGACTTCTGGGACTGCAGCCCACAGTTTGAGAAACACTGCAGTATAAAATATATTTCAATGGAAAAAATGAAGATCTTTGCTCCTCGACTGGCAACAGGGCAGAAAATATCTGTGATTTGTGTCATAGCTCTGATACGCTATCAGTGGAGGTCACTGCTGTAGTCAATTGTTAACTATTCCTCTTATCTTTGAGTTGGCACTTTGTATTCCTACACACCCCTTAGCATGTGAGGACTGCACAACGGAGGTCACTGGATTTTGTAACTGTGTATGTAAATACAAGTCTGGTACCTCCAACAAACAGTTTAATCTGATATGGGCTTTGATACGTTGTTTGAAACAGCAGCAACATAGAGTTGGTAACTCCTTACAAAAGTGATTATCTTTGTTACAACAGCTCCATTACCTTTTTTTTCAACACTGTTTCAGTTAGAAAACAAGAGTTTGGGGAGGATGTCCTCCTTAGAGCTGGTTTTCAGGCATAACGAGAAAGCTCAGTGTGCCATCTCTTTCCCTTTATGATTCCCTCTCCTTTCTTTTTTTATGGGGGGCATATGTAGAAGGTGCTCTGTCCCCTAACTTTCAGGCTTCCTTTCAATGTAGTAATGATATCTATGACCAATATCTTGCTATCTGAGTGGCTTTGGACATTGGAGAAGAAGTGTTGTTAGCTAGATGTGCCTTTCAGCTGACAAAATGCAGCACTTCTTGAAACAGTTGAAGGGGAACTTGAACAGGGAAAGTTGTGCAAGAATTAGCTTCATCTGTCTACAGCCCATGACATTTCCACTGGACAACTTCTCCTTCAGATGTTACCGAGGATCACTGAGAGTTGGATGTAGAAATGTCTTCATTGGTGGAACTTCTGAAGGTTACCTTCAGAAGGAATAGCTATTTCAGATGCCAAGGAATCTTTTTCAGTCCTCATGGAGAAGAAGAAGAAGAAGAAGAAGAAGAAGAAGAAGAAGAAGAAGAAGAAGAAGAAGAAGGAGAAGAAGAGTAGTAGTAGTAGTAGTAGTTTGGATTTGATATCCCTCTTTATCACTACCCGAAGGAGTCTCAAAGCGGCTAATATTCTCCTTTCCCTTCCTCCCCCACAACAAATACTCTGTGAGGTGAGTGGGGCTGAGAGACTTCAGAGAGTGTGACTAGCCCAAGGTCACCCAGCAGCTGCATGTGGAGGAGCGGAGACGCGAACCTGGTTCACCAGATTACGAGTCTACCACTCTTAACCACTACACCACACTCTCAGCTTTCAAGCGAGCAGATTCCAGTGGCAGACAGTGTCCGAGAGAACAATGGGTGGAGTAACAGATGTGAATGTCTCTTACCTTTGTAGGCTACATTCCAACCCGCCAAATGTCAGAGGGTTCTGTTGCTATTTGCATATCTAATGAGGGTAAATTCAAGTTGCCCTTCCAACCACCACCAAACCCAGCACCAAACATGTGTTTGGAAGATGAGCATGTAGGAATTTACATGCTCAGTCGCATGTGTACAGCTCACTGCTACATGTGAGGTTGTGTGGATTGATATATTAATCCAATGCTAGTGCTAGACAGAATGTCAGTTTTCTGAGAGTTAGAATCCCACTTTCTCTAAGAATACTTTTGTGCCTCTGGACCACCTTATCCTTGGCTATTAGCAACACTGGGAGATGGGTGTGGGATCTGCTATCTGACTAAAAATTGGCTCCTGGTCATATAACCCCATGAGAGTTTGCTGGAAGATGATGCCTAACCTTCGCAGCCCACCATAGGTTGTTGAGGACTCAGCCAGCAGATATCTGCATATTTGTATCCTTCCATCACTCTACCACCACCCCCAGCTTATATTTTTGACAATTCCATTGTTTCATCTATTTTTCAGCAGTTGTGGAAACAGGGTGTCTGGGGAAGCGATTGCACAACAAACTCCATATATGTCTATTTGATCCTTATTCCAAATGTATTAATTTAGTTGCATGAACTGGCTGATGCTGGGCTAATCTTAGTCTCTCGAGCCTCCCACCGATCTGTTATTTATTATTATTTCTAGTACATATGCTCACATTCTTCCTACTGGAGAAATTAGAACTAGTGTCAGACAACCCAACAAAGATGAACACTGGATATTTTGATATTTTAATATATTTTAGCATAGCATATGAGGACTCCTTCTTGCTATTTATACATATGGGAATGGAAAAGGTGAGACAAAAATGTAGTGCAAGGGAAATCCTGTGGTCCCTTATTCTGCAGAGCATCCTCTTCAGCCACCCCAAACAACTTCCAGTTCTTCATAGTGAAAAATTCCCTTGCCTCGCCAAAGGTTCAAAGCACCAGGGAACATTTTGGGCATACTGGTAATGTTCAAAGCAGCATCCTTTCTTCAAGCATTCATCAGCAGAGATGCCAGGGAATCCACAACCCACCCTTTTGTTTGGTGCCATTCCACACATCTTGGGTGGTCCTTAAAATGAAAAAGAAGGAGAAAGAAGAACTTTTGACTCAGAGTTTTTTGTTTTTGTGTTGTTTGTGTTGTTTTTTAAAAAAGTAAAGCTGCCCCATAATTCCTCTATGAATGTGTATCAATTTCTGTCTATATTATATTATAGTACTCTCACACAAGCTGATGGGGTTCTGGACCATACAGCTTTACACTGCAGGGGGGATTTACTTTATGCTGTGAAAGGCTGAAGATTCCAAAGGGAAGGAAGGAAGGAAGGAAGGAAGGAAGGAAGGAAGGAAGGAAGGAAGGAAGGAAGGATCCCTCTATACATGGATGGGAGAAGCTTTCCTAACTATTAAAGTAGATGCTGATCTACTTTAATAGCCAGGAAAGCTTCTGCACCCTGCAATGTAAATTTGTTCTTCTGCCTATTTCCTCCCAGTATTATTGGATATGTCTGAGTTCTAGAATGCATAAGATCCTGGTATGTTTTGAAGTAAAGGAAGAAGATACATTCAAATGAAAAATAAATGGGAAAGGCTTTTGATATAAAATACTCTAAAAACCTATGGGATCTTTAGTTTACTTCAATTTATTTCTACAATCATAAGTTGTTGTTTTTACAAGATGTGCTATCGAGGGCCAGCACTAGGATTTTTTTTGGGGGGGGGGCAGAGCTTTGGCCGGGTGCCCTTCAGTTAGCTCCTCTTAGCATCACTCTGATACTCTCCCAAGCTTACCAGGAAGCTGATGACAGTGGGTGTGGGTGGTTGGCAATAGCGGTGGGCCATGATGCTGAAAGCAGGGCAGCTCTACCTTTCTGGCTCCTCCTCAGACCAGAATTGTTAAGACAAGTACTAGATGAGAGAGTAGCAGCTGCTGCCATCTTACTCATTCCCAATGCCTCTGAGACTCACCTCACTGTTTATGTGATGGAGTGGGCCCCAGACACATTAAGGAGAATGAAGATGGCACCTGACCAGCACATCTCTTCACAGTGCTTGTCCAAAAAGATTTATTTTTTTACAAATAAAATAATTGAAGCTGGAGTCAGCTGACACTGGGGCTGGAGACATGCTGTCATATCCTATACACACAGAATTGAAGTGGTGGGGAGAAAAATGGGCAACTAAAAAAAATTAAAATGGCACAAGACTGTAGTTGCAGCCCAGTGTCCTTGGAAACAGTTCCAGTAGCAACCAGACAATGCCTGTGCTAACACCGACTTGCCAAATACAATCAGAATATTCAAAATACAGAGGGCAAAATCCTCATAATTCCATTACTTTTATTTCTGGAAAATATGGATTTTGCAATAAAAATGTGATATCTCAACAATAAGTAAATGCAATATTATAGTCCGTCCAATATTTTGTTATTCTCATTCCAGGACAGAATCTCTATGGACATGGATCAAGATGCTGTCCCTACACTGCTCTCTGTAGGCATACTTCATCCCTCTCTATTTCAGACACATCTGTTGTCACAAGCAAGTTGCTGCTCTGTTACCTGTTACGGATGTTGGGTAAAAACACCACCGTGTACTAACAACATATGAATTGAAACAGCATCCTCTTCCCTGGCATTCCTCGGCAGTGATGCCTGGGTATCCACAGTCTTCCCTTGCGCTCATGTCCATTATACAAGGCTGGGAAACTGTTCAGAAGAATGAATCATGTTACTGCCAGCCTTCTGTTACTTCTATAGATGTGCCTTTCATGTATGTATCTGTTTGGTTATTTTAACCATAGAATACACGAACCATTAAAAGACTTGTTATGGACCATGACTTAGGCAGAAACAATTAACTGGTCAAAGGGTTGGGCCCAATCCTATTTTCTCACTATCATGTGGATAGGAGTTCTCTTCTACATTGGACTGGAATTTGGAGGCATTTGGAGGAATCTGGAGGCAGAAATCACTTCTATCTACCAGTGTTCTGAACAGAGATCATATAATTGTAGAGTTGGAAGAGACCACAAAGGTTATCGAGTCCAATCCCTTGCAATGCAGAAATCCTTTCCCCAATGTGGGGCTTGAACTCATGACCTTGAGATTAAGAGTCTCATGCTCTACTGACTGAGCTATCCTCAGCCACTGAGGCTTACTGTTGCCTGCCTTGTGCTCTCTTGGGGAAGAAACAGGCTGTGGAACAGGAACTATGCTTTTCCATTAACCAGTCCTCAATAGGTGCATGCCCTGGTTATCTCTCGTTTGGATACATGTGGCTACCTTTGAAGGTGACTTGGAAACTACAACTAAACCAGAATGCGACAGCTAGACTGATGACTGCAAATGGCCACCAGGACCATATAACACTGGTCCTAAAGTATCTTCACTGGCTTCCAGTACATTTCCAAGTACAATTCAAAATGTTGGTGCTGATCTTTAAAACCCAAAACGGCCTCGGCCCAGTATACCTGAAGGAGCCTCTCCATCCCCATTATTCAGCCCAGACACTGAGGTCCTCCGTCAAGGGTCTTCTGGTGGTTCCCTCACTGTGAGAAGTGAAATTACAGGGAACCAGGCAGAAGGCCTTTTTAGTAGTGGTGTCCTCCCTGTGGAACGCCCTCCCTTCAGATGTCAAGAAAATAAAGAACTACATAACTTTTAGAAGACATCTGAAGACAGCCCTGTATCAGGAAGGTTTTTTATATTTGATATATTACTATGTTTTACATGTGCTGTAAGCCACCCAGAGTGACTGGGGAAACCCAGCCAGATGGGCGGGGAATAATAAAAATAATAAAAAATATCTTTGTAACAAAGCTATTGTTTATGTGACATCAGGTTACATAAGAACCTAAAGGAACATGATTGTGAATGGGCTTATATTTCCCCTCTTGAATTTGGAGAACATTAACACAAAGTCATTACCCTCATTCACTGGGGGATAGAAGCACATTGATGTGTCAGAAGCCTTTCGGTCAAAACAGCATCCAATCCTTTTGCACCTCTTGCGCGTGATCCCTTGATAGCCACAGTCCACTCTTGCTTGCGGTTCAGTCATTCTCTTTGCATATCGGAGTGAAGCTATTGGAAACCATATGCCATGTTTTAGGCAGCTTGTAATGTTGCTTTCAGCCTAGGTTGAGAAATAACTCCTTGTTGGCTTAAATGAAGCTCATCAAAACCAAAATCCAAGGACCTAAATCAAGGTCCTGGAGCTTAGACCCCACCCCCTGGCACAGAGCCCAAACAGCCGAAGGACTACTGCCTCTTCCCACTGCAGCCTGTCCCATGTGTTAAGATGCAAAGCCCTGCTCCAAGTGCATTCTTTATTTGAAGTGTGTTGTAAAATGGCACAGGAGACCAGCTGCTCTGTGGTGGCAACCAGGCTCTGAAATGCCTCCCCCAGGAAGCATGATGAGCACATCTTTAGTTATTTAGCTATTCCATTTCTTGCCTGCCCTTCATTAAATTCATGAATCCAGGGTGAGCAACTGGAGGAATTGTTTGCAAAAATTGGACAGCTGTGTTTTGGTTCTCATATTGTTGCAGAAAGTGTGGATTAGGTCATGTGATACGAATCTAATTTCTACCTTGTCCCTAGCTACATCCCATTCCTCCCCCAAACCTTTCGTGTATCATTTACCTCTTTCTCCAGAAGGTTTGAAGCACCATGGGACATCAGGCACAGTTGCATCAAAGCAGCAGCCCTTTTCTGTGCATTGCTCTGCAGTGATGCCTGCAGAAGTGGCATCACACCTCTTTCTAGCCTGGACATCCATTAGACATTGGCATGCATCTGTTTGGAAGGAATTGCTACATTTGGAGCAACCATATTTACCACTCCATTGTAAAGTAACCAAATGTGGGGTGGACAGTTGGTGTGTCACGTTGTGAGCTGGGTTTATAGAAAATAAATCATGTGGTCCCTTAATACTTTGCATTTCTTCATGGATTCAAAATATCTCAACCAATTCACAAGGCTCCTATCTCCTATTGTGAAGAGTCCATCTGGCTCTAACTGGTTGAGCTTTAATGTGAGAGTTTGGGATAAGCAAATGCAGCCTATAAGTAAAAGGAGCTTAACATTACAACAAGCAAGAAGTCTGCCAAACAACCAACCAGCTGCTGCACATCCATCAGATACCTGCCTCATAGGGACTAGTACAGTCTCCTTGTCTTTGGTGCCAACATTATCATTTTATACAAACCAATGTTTGATCAGCAAGTGTGGGTTGTCTTCTGTTCTCTTTGTCAACAGTAATGGCGACAGTGGTTGGGTGGGTGTCTATAGGACATGGCACTGTAGCATGGGTTTATGAAGCTATAATAAGAATGCCTAAAGCAATTTATGGACTACAACAGTGGCACTCAAGGTTATCCTCAGTTGACTTCACATAGAGAGAAAGAAAGTAATAATTTCTTCAATGGGAATTATTTTACTAACAATTTATAGATGACTGCATTTGCCTGTTGTTTCGTCACTTTGCTGTTCGTCACTAACTCGGCTTCTTTTGTTTACAGTGGTACCTCACAAGACGAATGCCTCGCAAGACAAAAAACTCGCAAGACGAAAGGGTTTTTGGTTTTTTTAGTTGCTTCGCAAGACAATTTTCCCTATGGGCTTGCTTCGCAAGACGGAAACGTCTTGCAAGTTTGTTTCCTTTTTCTTAACACCGTTAATACAGTTGCGACTTGACTTCGAGGAGCAACTCATAGCACGCGGTGTGGTAGCCTTTTTTGAGGTTTTTGAAGACTTTGGTGATTTTTGAAGCTTTCCCAAAACTTTTCTGAAACCGTGCTTCGCAAGACGAAAAAAATCGCAAGGCGAAAAAACTCGCGGAACGAATTCATTTCGTCTTGCGAGGCACCACTGTATTAAGAAACAAATATTCTATGCAATATATACTTACATGGTGGATGTCTTCTATTTTGGGAACAGACAGATCCTAAGCACAGGGCAGCAACCAACAATAACCATTGCTTGCATTCCATTGCTATATCCAGCTTGTTCACTTTAATACTTTCCAAGAAAACTGATCTGAAATAACATATGTTTACATTACATTTATATCCCTAAATTAAAATAATACAAATACTTAAGCTGGTTCATTTATCGGTGAAAAAATGCTGTTCAATGGCAGATTTACGGTCCACAGGGTCCTGTGCTCAGTCCTTTTGGGAGGATCCTGTTTGTTCACCTAAATAAACAAGACTATGTCCAAAGTTATGATGGAGCTAAATGCATAATAATTGTCAATTAATCTGTCATAACCTACATTTTGTAATGCAGACCTTTCGATCGCTAAAATGGTTGAGCTCATTCAATGATCTTGAGTTGTAGTCAAACATTAGTAATGGACTCTTTTAAGGGTGTGAACAATCTTTCACCAGTCACTCTTGATATGGGTGAGGTTTAAAAATATTAATTGTCTCTACATTTGGGAATGTGGTACTCAAACCAGCGACAGGCTTGTAAAGTGCAGTGGGAGACTTTGATGATATGAAGTCCTCACTGTGACAAAATGCAGGAAGAATTGCAATTTAATTTATCTTTTATTTTTATTTAAAGAACAAAACAGGATCAGTTTCCTGAAAAGTGTGGATTAGGTCATATTCTACCCGATCAAAGCATGGCACAGCCTACAGAGCTTAAACAGAGCAGGGGCAGATGTGATTTAGAATTATGAGCCTCAAAAATAAATGGTATGAGCATACACAGAGTGCACCTGTCTAGCCAATGAGGAATCTCTGTTTGCATTTAATGTGATGATTCAACACTAACAACGGCCTGAAATAAAAACTCTTTGGGTTGTATTCAGTGCTAATCCTACTCTGAATAGACCTGTTGAAATTAGTGAGCATGACTAACTTAGGTCCATTAATTTTAATGGGTTTACTCGGAGAAGAACTGGCATTTGATTACATCCCTTCATTACCAGTCAGCCACATGATACATGGAATCATTGCTTCTCCTTTACCAAAGTGGCAAGAAAAACAAGAAGCAAGTAACCCCAACACCAAAAGATAGTAAGGATCGGGCAGGATTCCATCAATGAGTCACACCAATGGAAGCTTGCATAGGGACTTCTGCTAGTGCCTTAAGGTTTTCCTCCTCTCTCCATTCCATGGGCGTCCTCCACACATCACGAATTGGCTCTGGGGGGTCAAGAGAAACCTTGGAACAGCAGGCAGGAGAAGGCAAATGATTGTGTTGTTGGACTGATCTGCTCAGTGCTATATTGAATTCCTCCCACTGTGGCATAAAGGAAATCAAGTCCATGCTCTGCGTGTTCCACTTCACCAGAGTTTAGAGCAATTCCAGTCCAGGTTGTACAAAAAGATTACAAGCCACACAGCATCCACTGCTGGCCAGGCCTCATACTATGGTGCACTTAGTCTAAATGCTAATACTAATCCTTTTTTCTTCTCTTTTCTGTTACTCTAGGATCAGGGACGGATTTAGGTTTGATGGGACTCTAAGCTACTGAAGGTAATGGGGCCCTTTATATGTCTAGCTATCCTTTGTCAACAACAAATTGTCGCTGTTTTTTGTGTTGAATATATGCTCTATGGTAATTTATGGACCTAATAGGTATCTAAAGCCATTTGCACATAACAAAATATGTATTTTATAAAAGCAATTGATATAGAAATGAGCAAACCAGTGATATTTTAGGGAGCAGGCTAGCAGGCGGGGCCCATTACTTACATCACAGGAGCCTACACAACACACAACACTGTTGCTGTATGTAGGTTTTATTTTATTTGTTTTTTATCTTATATTTTGGAAATGTACATCCTGGGTTTTTTTCTTTAGTTTTTTTGGGCGGGCCGCTAAGAGAGTGGGGCCCAAAGCTATAGCTTGTTTAGTATATACATAAATCCGGCACTGACTAGGACAACAATCTTCTAAAATATCTGTTTTAGGGGATAAGCTCCCCATGCTTTAAGTAAACTATATAAAATTATAAGACTGCTGAGTTATATAGTTGCAGTCAATAATTGTTTAACACTTGCCACAAATGTTTCTGCCAGAAATTAGAACAGTATTGACTACAACAATATAGTGCAGTGTTTTTTTAACCACAGCCAACATGATAAAAGAAAAATGTCCTGATCCAGAGTATTCTGAGTAATTCTTGCTGGATTGGGTCCCTGTGACATCCCTTTGAATCATAGAATCACATGTGGAAATTGAAAAGAAATAAAAGTTGCTGTATAAAGTGCTTCAAAAAGCCAGTCATGGCCTTTTCCATTCCACACACACACACACCCATCTTCTATGTCCCTGCCAACAGACACTTTGCATTCTGTGGCCACTGAACATGTTGAGTCCACATCGGTCCAAGACTTTTTGTACTTTCTTGCTTTTTTGTACTTCTGCTGATGCCTCCTCCTTGTGTGTGGAATAATGTCATATTGGCTACCTAAGGATCACCACTTGGAGGATGAGTTTGCTGTAGTGTTGCCATCTATTTGGTGAATATATGTGTACATGCCTCATATCTAAGTGCACAGATCTGTGGAATGGGACTATGAACAATGATAACACTCCAGATCTTGCTCTTGAGAGTCAAAAAAATATTAACCTAAAGATATTATTTCCAAAATAGTATAAAAAGTTTTTTGAGGCATACATTTTAAGCATCCTTTGAAACCATATGGCAATGATTTCCTGTTAGGGTTCCAAGGAGTTGCTTAAGAGCAAGCAGGCAAATGCCTCCCTGCTTGGCTGTGAAGCCTTGCTTTTGATGCCAAAATTAACTTTATCTGTCCAGAGCGCCACTCTCCCATGGCTGGCTCATTCACTGGCGGAATCCATGAGTGGGCAGTCCTTAAACCTTCCCCAGCAAAGCAGTTTCTTGACGCCCAATCTGCGCCTCCCCTCTCGGCGGGAACGCTTACTGCGCAAGGAGGGCATGGGTAACGGAGGACCTCTCTCCTCCCCGCTTTGCCCAGGCAAGGTGTCCTGGCACTGCCTTGCCTCCTCCGAGCCCTGAAGCTTCTCTCCACTGGAGGCATGGTTACTCTCCTCCGCTGAGGAGGAGCTGCTTCCCACGATCTTTGGGGGCTCTCTGTAATCCATCCAGCTTTTCCCCTCTCCCCCCTGAGCCGATGGCAGTTTCCTGACATTTACATAAAGTAATGTGCAGAGTAAGTAAAAGAAATACGTAGAAATTTTGGCTTACTTGAAATGGTGAGAAGCTAGACATAAGTGGCTTGATTCTGGTGCTGCCAGACCTAGATGTTAGATTACAGAAAATTTCCTGTCTTCTTCAGTCCCAAGGATTATTCTTTGAATAATGGCTTTTAGTTTGCAGATCAGCATCTAATAGCCGTGATGTCACACCATGTCTGAACTGAGCCTACAAGCTTCATTTTTTAAAAGGACAAAGGACAAAGGGCTTTTTTATATGTGATAGTTCAGGCTTTGGGCAGAAGGCCAAGCTTCCCAAATATTTATCTGCTGTTCAGCTAGTTTACTGTTCTCCAACCAGATCCTATGAGGAATCCGATCCAGAGGAACTATCAGTACCCAGATATGTCATGACCTCTGGAGCTGTACTGGCATCCAGAGTCCGCCCAGGAGGAAGGACTCTGTTTGGGAGGCAATAAACAGTTGTTGCCAGGCAGAGAATCATTTGGGCAGAGAACATAAGGCAAGGCACATATCAAATTCACTGCTTCCCAGAAGATACTTCATGCAGTGTTACAGGCAACTTAATTGTTTTCAGTGCCGCATTTATGTATAGGTTAAGTAGGCTGAAGCCTAGGGCCTCTATATCTAGGGGGCCTCACCAGCCAGCCCGCTCCACAGTGGGCAGTCTCCCCTCTCCCAAAATTGCAAACTGAAGACTTCATGCAAGGGCAGGACAACTTGGCCTCTAAATCTAGGGGGCTTGCCCGCTCCACAGTCTCTCCTCTCCCAAAATTGCAAACCCAAGACTTCTTGCATGGGCAGAGCAACTCAGGCCCTTTGGGGTTTTTTAAGAATAACGTTACAAATTCATTTTCCTAAAAAAAAAAAAAATGCTTATTCCACATAAGGTTTACAAAGTTCAGTTATTGCCTCTCTTCATCTAAATCCAGCCCTCATTGTTTTTGTTGGGAACCTTTGAAAATGGAACTGCAGCTGACATCCATTGCAGCAAGATTGACTTGTCCTGCTTCTTCTGCATGGTCTATTATGGTATGGCAGCACAAGCCACTCTACACTTCCATCACAAGATTAGGATGCATTTTTCTGTAGGTGATAATTTTGTATGGACATACCAGACCAGATGCAACAAAACAACATATAGCATTACCTTTGGGCTAATGCTCCCTTACACTAGTATAGCCTACAAACCAGAAATGAGAAATCTGTGGTCTTTCATATATTGATGGTCTACAACTCACATAATCCCTGATTGTTGGGAATTACAGTCCAGCAACATTGGGGAAAGCCACAAATTGCCCATCTGTGCTATAAATGGTGGCTGAGCTCGATAAAATGTGCAAAGATGGGGATGAATGCACAACAGAGATACAGTTCATCCCTTATACAGCCAAGACTCCCTGGAATAAACCTCACTCTCCAGCCATTGTCACATGGAATGATTGTAAACTCAGGGAAAACATAAAAGTACAGTGGTGCCTCGCAAGACGAAAAGAATCCGTTCCGCGATTCTCTTCGTCTAGCGGTTTTTTCGTCTTTCGAAGCAACCCCATTAGCGGCTAAGCGGATTAGCGCTATTAGCGGTTTAGCGGCTTAGCGGCTATTAAAGGATTAGCGGCTAAGCTGCTAAAAGGCTATTAGTGGCTTAGCGGCTTAGAAAAAGGGGGGAAGCAGGGGGGAAATCGCAAGACTAGCAAGACGTTTCGTCTCGCGAAGCAAGCCCATAGGGAAAATCGTCTTGGAGAGCAACTCAGAAACGGAAAACCCTTTCGTCTCGCGGGTTTTTTGTCTTGCGAGGCATTCGTCTTGCGGGGCACCACTGTAATTGGTGTGCATTTCTTTTTCTCTGGCCCACTGCCCCATTTTGACTGCATTCTTTTTGAAAGATGAGGCAATCGCCGTCTCGTGTCCTTAACAACATCACTTCACACACCCCTCCCCTCCTTCCCTCCCATCTCTGGGATAGCCTTCATGGTTAAAGAGTAATTTACTGATTTGTTTTCTTTTTCTGAGAAAGCTTTGGTACTTTCTCTGTTTCCCCATGTGGTATATTATGATGGCATTCCTCCCTCCAGACTCACAGCCAAAGTTGTTCATGCTGTGCGCCTGATTATTTTGGTAAACACTGAGTAGCCAGTTTTCTGAGCCAGTGCTATCAAACAGACAGCAGACTATCCTCTGGCAGAACAGAGCAAGGGCCACAGCCGGAAATGATTTCCCTACCCTAGAAAAACAGCTCTTCTAGCACATTTGATCTAAATTTTCCACAATTGTGCATTGTAAAGGCTTGTTTCTTCAATATAGAGAAGTACTTGGCAGGCATGTATAGAGATGAGGGCTGGGTGCATCTTACTAAATGTCTGAATTTGAAAGAAAGAGAAGGAAAGCAGAAATTAAGGACGCAACACACTTTTGCTTTGATTTATTGCTTCAGGAAGGAGCAAAGGGCTGAACAGTAGGGGGAGAAAAATCAGAAGAAGTAATCTACAGCATGGTTTAAGTGGTTCAATTAGTCTCAGAATTCTGCAGGATCTCAGTTGCCAACATTGTCAAGAAACAGCTTCACGATGATGAAGTGCCTTGTGCACACCTTCTTCATGTAGAGAAGTGGTTCCCACTATCACTGAATCCATTCCTTATAACACACACTCTGGATGGAGAAAGTGAAAGAATAGCATCAGCCACACAATCCACTTCATCAGAGCATTTCTCGCCTCAAGCATTTTAAAAAAATTCTCATTTAAACATATTGATGCATGTTCCAAACATTTCCCAAATGATCAACATAAAATAAATATAATTTGTAGTGATGAAAACAGCTCACTTAGCTGCCATTCAAAAGAGCAGTCCATTCATCTTTTTTAACCTCTTCCCTGTACTAATATCTGCTAATACAAAATCTGCATTGTGATGTGTGATGCCATTGCAATGTCCACTTCCCAGTCTCCTGCTTTTAAGTGCGTGGGGAATTTTGCAACATGATTGATGTCATGTTATTCATTTGATTTAGATAATACTCAGATACCTTTATCGGGGACGGGGTGGCCAGCTACAAAAGAAGACAGAGCTCCCACACCTTGAGCAGTTGTCGTACCAACTTCACCTCCTGAAATTCCTTCTTCTACTCTACTTTGAAAGGTTTGGGGGCCTCTGCATCTGGCTAGCCTAGCCCAGCCCTTGCCCTGTCCATCTCTGCCCCAATTACACAAATCCCCAACTACCTGTTTTCTCCAGCCTTCCCTTTCAACCTGATCTAGTGCATCCTTTCCCCAGAGCAGTGCTATCCAGATGTTTTGGACCACAATCCTCAGCAGCCCCAGCCAGCATTGCTGTGCTGGCTGGGATGTTGATGGAGTTGTAGTTCAATGTACCTGAAGGGCACCTGTTTGGGAAAGGGCTGGTTTAGCACATGTGTGTGAGAGAGTGGCTGGAGAGATGGGGAATGTGATATATGCATCTCTGAGGCTGCATCAGTTTACAGAGCTGAGCTTTTCAGATGCAGCTCTCTTCCCCAGGTTGTGACTTGGCAACCCTAGATTCTATGCATCTGTTAGAGGATCAAGCCCTCAGGTGCGATTTCTGCTTTATTAGAGAACCACCGTACAAATTAGAAAATAACAAATTAGAAAAATTAGAAACGTATTTGGCATCACAAGGCCACTGCACAACACCAATACTTGTAATTTCAGAAGGAGAATAGCACAACTGATTTTGGGATTCAGTCCTGCCTTGTGCCAAGGTTACGTTAATGAAAACGTTTAGAATAATTTAAGCTCTTACAACAAGACATTCATATTGTACTTTTATGTACCAAAAATCACACACATTAAATGTATTTGACACTGGAATCCAAAAACGAATTAGAGTTGTGGATACTAACCTTCTATTGAAATGGGTTTGAAGCACCAGGGGGCATCAATCACGTTTGAATCAAAGCAACATTGCCTTGCACTGCATTCAATTTCACCAATGCCTGGGTAGCCACAATTTTCTCTTGATCTTGCTGGAACATTGCATTGTCCTGAAGCTATTTAAAGCAAAGTTTGATATCAGCAAGTTGTTTTCTGTGAGGGAGATGTTCACGAATGCTCTTTATATAGGCACCAAGCACCCTCATAAATTCATGTACTCCTTTGCTTTTTAAATACATCTATTTGATCTTCTTGTAATCATCACACTAATTACAATTCTAGTCACAATAACACTGATAATTTTAGTGCAAAAGTAACCCTGGTATTTTCATCATTCATTGCTTTAATGTCAGTCAACGTTTATTATGGCAAACAGCCAGCATATTAAACCAGAAGAAGGGAGAGTTCCCTGTTTGCCACACACACAGCCCCCACTTCAGAATGAAGAATGAAAGCACAACTTCTTAAAGAAGCACCTGCCCTAGCATTGCTCTAGAAAAGAAGAAAACATCTCTTCATTCATGAGAATAACACAATGGCCTGTTATGGCAGCAACGTAAGTTTAATGATCAGAACCTTGTTGCTAGATTATTATGAGCGCACTAATAAGATCAAAATCAGTTCAAAAGCCTGATATATAGATAAACCAAAATTATTATTTTCAGACACATATTCAGCTTACCACATGGTTTTATCTGAGATATTACATATCCAATATTGGACATGGGTATATTTGTTTGTATATTTGGGGGGGAAATGCCATAATATGCCATATAACAAATATTCAGTAGCTGCCACAAATTCCCAGCTTTCATTCTTTTTAATTCTATTTTTAATGAGCTAATTTGGTTAGTGTGGGCTGTATATTTGTTAAAGGAGCTTTAGAATATATGGACATTTAGAAGCCAGAAGCTGTCTATGCTTAGAAGACACTGCCATCCATCCACTGCCACATGAATTGTCTTGGCACCAATTCCAGTTCTTTTGCATGTCCCTGATTTCTGCCTGTCTGAGCAAACTTACCAACATCCTAAGTGCCCTCTATGACAAATCTCCCCCCACCTCTTGCCCTCTTTAGAAATAACCAGAGAGTAAATGTGGGTGAGCTATTTTTTATATTCCTATAATAAAATAAAACCAACTTCATAATATTCACACATTATTAAACACTTCTACTTCAGGTTTTCTTGGTTTCAAAATACAGGGTTTGGGGCTTAAAACATAAACATGAATGAAGCCTTCTTTTTATTAGAATCGCACAGAAATGCATTCCTAGATAGCTCTCCAGTACTACCCCATCAAGACAGCCAGATCTAGCGATATATAAGAGAAAGTTCACCTGCCTTTTAGAACTGATATTTTGGCTGCAGTGCTACAAGCAGAACTGCAGAGGCTTGCACCACTAGTGTAGCTTCGTTGTATGCCACTTGATTTTTCATATAATATAAATGATAAAAGAAATACTGAAAATGCATGCACTTACGCAGCAAGGCATTGCTGAGCCCTACAATGGTCAAAATGGCCAGAACCCAGATCATTTTGTTTCCCATTGCAGCGTCTGTGATCGGCCTCAAGGAAAGGAAGATGGAGAATCTGTAAATGAGAACCACACCAGAGAGAGTTTTGTTTTATATATTGGCTGTGTTTGTTGGCTTGGTTTCATAGAATATTTGCCTAAGGTGGTGCTTTTTGGAATCCTGTTCCTGATATCTCTTTTTGATTAAAATTGGACCATTAACACATTTACCAGCATTCACTGTGACGGGTTTTCCCTGATAGCTGTTCTAAAAGAAAAGAAAACTGGTTCAGATATTAAACTTTGCTAAAGGCTGTTTACACATAGGCAGGTTCCACCCAAGGCTCCAGCATTTACTCTTTAAATCCAGTGTGTCATGGGAGTGAGCTTTGGGATCAGACATACACCCTGTTTATACACCATTCATTGATGAGCCAGGGTAGGTAGAACACATGCAGTTGAAAAGAGATCCCCAGTATTATACAAACCCATGTCTGCCATATGGATTGCTTTTGCCATTTTGATTTCCCCCTAACTCTGTGAACATTGGTGGTATGAAAAGAGGCTGCTAGACTGGGTCAAGTAGTTCAGACAAGTGTCACCTGGCAGATTCCCTTTGGTTGGCAGGATTTAGATGGCCCTGAATGGCAGGTCTTTGCATAGCTAAGGAAATAGCCAGACTCTATCTGGAAGCAGTGTGTGTCTTTTTTCCTCCCACCTTTCCCCTACCTGTGGGGATGATGACTAAGTTGCTCTCCATAAGAAATGTGGTAGTTCTGGTGGCTGCCCTAGAAATTGGATGCAGAGGAGTGAATTTGGGGCATCTATTGAAATTAAGCTGCCCCTTCAGTCAGTATATATGTGTAAATAAAACCATACATGGCAATAAAAATCACATATCGCAAAAAAAACCCCACCCACTTCCAGTGAAATTGAAACAGGGTACACACTAGGGCAGGGGTCTGCAACCTTTAAAACAAAAAGAGCCACTTGGACCCGTTTCCGAAGAAAAACAACAACTGGGAGCCGCAAAACCATTGCGACATTTAAAACAAATATATCTCCGGAGCCGCAATCTGACAGTGGGAAGGTGACGTCGGGGACGGTGCGTGACTAACGCACGCACCACCCCCATGCGACGTCACAGCCAGTACAGCGCCCGCCACAGTGGGGAGTGTCGGGGCGCACAATGCGCCTCCTCCCCTCGCTAGTATCCGCCCCGGAGCCGCGGCAAAGGTGTAAAAGAGCCACATGTGGCTCCGGAGCCGCGGGTTGCAGACCCCTGCACTAGGGAGTTCCGACCCTAAAGGCTTTAGGCAACATGTGGAGACATGTTATAGCAGAGAGGAGTAGTTCTGAGAGAAATATTTCACCAGGTCTTTGGCATTGAAACACTCTCTCTCTCTCACTCACTCTCTCTCTCTCTCTCTCTCTCTCTCTCTCTCTGTGTGTGTGTGTGTGTGTGTGTATTCCTTGGTTCTCTATTGTATTTTTCTGGTCAGAGGTGGTCATGCTGATACTTGCATTTGTCATTTTTAGCCATTTGTTTTTAATTTTTAAGCCATTTCGAAGCCATTGGGACAGAAAAGCAGTCTAAAAAATATTAACATAATGTAACTACTAGACTACATTAAGGAAGAATTACATACACTCTACAGGTTGCTTCTCCCCTTCCCCCCATAAAGCCAAGAGATGCTCATCACAGGACTGCAATGTGTAATACTGCCAATTCTTAAACTCAAATTCTGGTTGCATTTTTTCAGTCCAAAGTCAAAGCTGTGTACTCCAAGTGGGTCTGGCTATAGCTACCGCCTATAACCTTCCCTAGGGATGCGGGTGGCGCTGTGGGTAAAACCACAGTGCCTAGGACTTGCCGATCGTATGGTCGGCGGTTCGAATCCCCGCGGCGGGGTGAACTCCCGTCTTTCGGTCCCAGCTCCTGCCCACCTAGCAGTTCAAAAGCACCCTTAAAAGTGCTAATAGATGAATAGGTACCACTTTAAAAGCGGGAAGGTAAACAGCATTCCGTGTGCTACGCTGGTGCAGGCTCGCCAGAGCAGCGGTGTCACACTGGCCATGTGACCTGGAAGTGTCTGCGGATGGCACGGGCTCCCGGCCTCTAGAGTGAGATGAGCGCACAACCCTAAAGTCTGCCAAGACTGGCCTGTACGGGCAGGGGTACCTTTACCTTTACCTTTATAACCTTCCCTAAAGTTAAACAGCATATTTGACTTGCACAGGTAAAGGTAAAGGTGCCCCTGCCCATACGGGCCAGTCGTGTCCGACTCTAGGGTTGACTTGCATACAGTGAAATAAATCTCTTAGATTTAATTCTAGAATAGAGAGACAAGTAGTTAGGTGCTGTTTGCTCATTGTGGTTTTTTTTTTGGGGGGGGGGGAAACACTGCAAAGATTTACCAGCAGAACTGACCATCCTAATTTAGGAAAAGGAGCTATTAGTACCAGAACTGTACCTGAATGTGTGATGGAGGGGGCGGGGGAGCAGGATCAGACCAGCATTATAAAGTCTTATTTTAAACATTTGTTGGGATGTGCACTGCAACTTCACCATAGTTGTACAATATTGAATGTATAAGATCAGTTTTAGTTCCCTGTGGATTGTTAAAGTGATCAAGACTCCTGCATTTACTTCTGGGACAAAGAGTGAGCAATTGCATTTCTTATGTTTTATGTATTACTGTACAGTTCTTGCAATTTCTTTCTCAGATCAAAGTACAACTAATCAATGGGAAACACAGTCAAACAGAGAGGGAGCCTCCCAATTTCTTTCTTTTCTTTTCCTGATGGACTGCAACTCCCACCATTGCTCACTAATAGCCATGCTGTCTGGGGCTGGGGAGAGCAGGAGTTCAACAATATTTAGATGACTGCTGGTTCCCCCTTCCAGTACAGTGGTGCCTCGCAAGACGAAATTAATTCGTTCCGCAAGTCTCTTCGTCTTGCGAGTTTTTCGTCTTGCGATGCACGGTTTCCCATAGGAATGCATTGAAAATCAATTAATGCGTTCCTAGGGAAACCTCCTTCAGACCAGGTCCGGGGACACTCTGTCCCCCGACCTCTTCTGAAGGCTGGGGGGGAACAAGGGCTTTTCTTCCCACCCCCAGCATTTTAAAAAAACCCGGGACAGCGGAGGACTTCTCCGCTGTCCGGGGCAATCTTAAAATGCTGGCGGGCGGCATTTTAAAATCGCCCGGGACAGCGGAGGTCCTGGACCTCTTCTGAAGGTGGGCGGGGGCGAAAGTCTTTGCTCCCCCCTGCCTGCCTTCCCGGGAGAGCGGAGAAAGGCAGCGCGTTTCTCCGCTGTCCCAGACGGCTTTTGAAGGCAGGCTTTTGAAAGCCGTCCGGGACAGCGGAGAAACGCAGCGCGCCCTTCCCGCTGCCCCCGACTTGGCTGGAAGGCTGGCGGGGGGAGAAGCCTGCTCCTCCCCGTCGCCAGCCCCGCAAACTCGGGGGACAGCGGGAGAGGCGCAGCGTGCCCTTGCCGCTGCCCCCCAACTTGGCTGGAAGCCTGGCGGGGGGAGAAGCCTGCTCCTCCCCATCGCCAGCCCCGCAAACTCGGGGGACAGCGGGAGAGGCACAGCGCGCCCTTGCCGCTGCCCCCGACTTGGCTGGAAGGCTGGCGGGGGGAGAAGCCTGCTCCTCCCCATCGCCAGCCCTGCGCCTCTCCCGCTGTCCCCCGACATGGTTTGGAGGCTGGCGGAGGGCTTCCTCCTCCCCCAGCCCCGCAAGCTCCCAGAGCGATGCCAAAGCTGCGCGCAGCTTCGGCATGGCTCTGGGTCCCGTTCTGGGGAGGGGGAAGCTCGGGCTTCCCCCGCCCCAGCCCCACGCCTGGCGGTGGGGGAATAAATTTTTTTTCCCTTTATCCCCCCCCCCCCCGCCAGGAGGTCCAAGGACAGTGGGGAAGACGCGCTGCGCTTCCCCGCTGTCCCGGAGATTTCCCTATGGGCTTTCGTCTTGCGAAGCAAGCCCATAGGGAAATTCGTTTTGTGACGCGCCTCCAAAACGGAAAACCCTTTCGTCTAGCGGGTTTTCCGTCTTGCGAGGCGTTCGTCTTGCGGGGTACCACTGTACTATCATTAATGTGTTTCCCATTGGTTTGCCCTGCTTTTATTTTAAACAGCAGTTTTCAAGAACTTTACATTAACTCACTAACAATGAGAAACACTCTCCTTCACTTGTTGTCCCAGGAGTAAAGGCAAGAATTTGCAGGCATTTGTATGCTATGTTTTCATCTACTTTTCTGCATCCACTGTTGCATGAGATTTTCTAGGGTGTGAAATAGTTAACAGGCCCAACGGCTTGTACCAGAAGCCTTTAATGTGTTACTGCTTGTGAAATTTATGCCTAGCTTAAGTGGTTTCTTCCCTTTCTAAATGCTTCCTGTGGCCACTGTCACGGTGTTCCATTGCGCCAGAAGCGGTTTAATCATGCTGGCTGCATGACTTGGAAAGCTGTCTGTGGACAAACGCTGGCTCCCTTGGCCCGAAAGTGAGAGGAATGCCGCAACCCCAGAGTCACCTTTGACTGGACTTAACCGTCCTGTGGCTATAATGCAATCATGTGGCAATGTATGTGCTTTACATGGTGGTTTTGGCTGGTAGCTCTGAAGCTGTTAATCTACTTGTATATTTCCTCCAAGAAGCTCAAGATAACATGGTTCCTGTACGGTAAGTTAGCCTGAGACACAGTGGCCCAATCATATATTTAAAGCAACATCATATGACTTTGAATAACCATGGCTTCTCCAAAGAATGATGGGAAGTGTAGTTCATTAAGGGTGCCGAGAATTGTTGGGAGACCCCTATTTCCTTCACAGAACTACAATTCCCACAGAACTGGGAAGAGGGATTCTTAAACCACATTGAAAATTGTACCTCTGTGATAATGCTGTCTAGTCTCCCTGCAACCAGCAAGTTATCTGGATATAGTCATAAAGAAGGACACTGGTATTATTCACTTGGAATATAGGTATGGAAATCACTCCACCATTTCGCACACCACTTAACAAAGAGCCATATGCTAGTTTATTTATAATTTG